GCACGCGCACTTCTAACTCCTTTTGCTTATTCCCCATGCTGCGTGCATTGGCATAAAGGCATTTACGTTGGAACACAGATGAATCTGACTTCCTGGCTGGAGCGGCTGGAATTCCTTTCTTCTGTTCTTCAGGTACTTCCAGCATATCTTTATCAATCTTGATATTACGTTCCTCCCCCTTCGAATCCTAGCAAGGGAGTGGAAGCTACAGGAGACCATCGCACCATGATACGGCGGACATTGGTCTGTCCATGCTGCATGCTTGGGTCCATGCTCAGGGACAGATGAGCACTCAGTTTTCTCTCAAGGCTTTCATTCATCACTATGCCATCTCCCCAAAATCTGCCAGCCCAGTAAAAAATCATTATAACTCTTCCTTACACTACAAAATGAGCAGGTTTTCTGAAAAGTACTTAACCATTTGGCTAATGCTTCATAGCATACGTGACTTTTTTTTTAAATGAGCAATAATTTCTTAACAACAAATTAAGATAACATTTGAAGCACAGAAGAGAGAGTGACTTAGTGAAGTTCCTTCTGAATGCGAGTCATGAGTGGTTCAAGAGCATGCTATCAGGACAAAAACTGGGAAGAGCTTTCACAAATATTAAGGCATTTCATTCGTTAACTCTTTAAACTGAGGTAACAGTGCTAAAGGTGACCTCGAGAGTCAGGTCATATAAGGAAACTAACTACACTGCCTGAATTAACATCACAGAAATACATTTATTACCTATCTTCTCCTGTCACTATTTAGCCATGCAACTTTACCAGTAAAGGAGGGGTGGGGTGGAAAAGTCAGTACTAGGCATTCTCAATGCTACATTTGGCCTCTTCAAGGGCAAAGCAGACTTACTTGAGATATCCTGTCCTAACCACTGTCTATAACATGCTGCTTCTGCCAGAGAAGGTGGTTGGTTTGCGTGTTTTTTCATATTCTTGTAAAAAGCTTTGTCACCTGTTCCTAAAAGACCAACTCAGATTCACACAGCTTGTTTGTACTCTACATCAACAGATGTCAAGACATCTTGCAGAGCATGTCTCATACTACCTTTCTATATAGTCAATACAATAAGAATAATCATCATGTAGGTCCACTTTAGTCAATGGATCCTTTCTTATATACACTCATTATCACAGGAACATTCTCCGGTGACACTGATTAAGCAGAAAGGGAAAAAATACTGCTGTGTAACATGACAAGGTATCTTGTGGTAGGCTACTGTATCACTTTTACTAGACATTTCTTGTGGGTGTTAAGTAGTTGTGCATGAAGGACAGCAGGTTAATACTAATTTTCTTGTTTGATGCACTCTTATCAGTGAGAAGCAGCATGCATTTGTCCTAACTGGGAGATCCATCCCACTTCCAACTTAAACACCTCTCTCAATGAATCTGAGCTCAACAGCAATTAGGTAATAACAGCTTTTGCACCAACGTAACGACTTAGTAGGGAGAAAAGGGCTGCTCATGTTTCAAGTTAAGAAGGTAACAAACAATGCAGAACTGAAACGTGGTGGGAAAAAATGATTTTGCTTTTGCTCTTCACTGTGAAACACAGAGCAGAAAATCACCAAATTCTTTTCTGAAGAAATAGCTGTTTGCTTGTTAGCATCTAGAAAGTAAAGACAATCACGCTAGCAACAAGCCTAACTTTCAGCTGATTTGGCTTGATTTTTCTCATTTCATTTCTGAGCTTCAGACTCTTCGTTTGCCAACACTTTCCTGTCTCTTAGTTTACATTATGCAGACTGTCCTATTAGTATTTGTGAAGTACTCGGTTTTCTGGCTTTGAAGTACATAGTATTTGCATGTCTGCTGTACACATCACATAATGTGCCTGTAAGAACCAGCATTACACAGACTCAAACGTATTCCCCATTTGGGTCCTAGTTTTGCCACTGAACTGCTGCATCAACTATAACTAACTCTCACGTATGCAACTTTCAGCCCTCAACTCACGTGCTCCCATGTCATGTGCTAAACAGTCAGAGCTGCGAGTGCACACACGCTGCCACAACTTGAGTGCTTACATCCTGCAGACAGACTTTCTAGCTACTTGTGCAATTCCCAGAATTTATCCATGCATACATGACAGAGATAAATGGACACTGGTTCAACACTTGTGCTTAAGTATCACCATCAATAGCTAAACCTCAGTCAATGTGATTGATAGAAATATTTCTACATGTTTCTCTGCACATGATGAATGCTCTAATTATGCCTCATACATGCAAAACAAGTAAGCAAATGTCAAAAAAAAAAGGACCAACTTTTCTGGTTTTAAGTGAAATACATTGCTTTTACAGAACACAGAGAATCTCTACACATCTCCTTCATTCATTACAAGCTTCATTTACTTGTTTGTTTTCAGAAGTTGCCTTCCCTAAACACATCTATGTTATCTCAAAAATGGAATATATATAGCGAGTGTTATTCTACATGTCTATTTTGACATGAGGAGCTATTAACTACTTGAAAAGTAGTTACTGAGAAGAAACAGTAAAAGTCTCTTGGGTTTTTGTTGTTTATTTTACAAGTTTGCTAATGCCAATTCTCTGACAAAAGTTAGAATCTTTTCAATTTTTTCCACCATATTGCAAATGTGAATATGGAACATTAAAAAAAAAGACACAAATATATGTGAAAAAGCAAAACAAACTCAACTATAATTCTTCAGATATCATACAAGATCCAAATGATGCCATAAAGTACAGAAGGATAAAACTGTGTGAATAAGAGCAAGCAGAAACAATAATAAAAACATAGGTAAGGTAAAACAATATCATACTTTAGAATTCACATACACAAGTATTTCAAAGATACTGAAAGAGATGAGAAATCTGGGAAGCTCCAAGTTAATGGTCTGGAGCACTCTGAACTAAGGTGCCACTTACCAGCAAGTCACGAGCATGAAACACTTTAACCTCACCATCTCAAAGGAAACAGTAATCTCACATGACTTTAAAGGCTTAGGAACAATGAAGACAAATTCAGAACCTCAGCTGAGAATGGCATCTTCCTCGCTTCCACAGGTGTTCTGTATGTTTACTACTTGTTCAGGTGTTTTGCGTGTTTAATTCTCACACAGTACACACAGAAATCCAAAGTAAATTCAAAAAAAATCCATCCCTATACAATAACAGCATCCTGCCAAATTCTACCTTCAGGTATATGTCTTTGACCCCATTTATTGAAATCACAGCTCCACCACGCATTCGAGAACATCATACAGGCAACTATGAAATGACTCTATTTAGCAGATTAAACATATAAATGAGAGAAATTAGGTTAGAGAAGCATATAAAGAGATTTTGCAGAAAGCTGTTCTGAGGAGTGAAAAGAAGCTCTTCACAGGGCTGAAAGGAGTCACCTCTTGGCTAATCGATTCGTCAGTCTGTAAGTTCCCCTTGCTGAAGAGCCTTCTCTTCCCTTCTCTACGTTACTTCGCAAGAACTCCTCTCCTCCTAGCAAGTTTATAATTTCATAACATGCAGAAAGCCTCTCTCTCATCTATCCCATGGTCTCAGGCAGCAAAAGCAGCTGTGTTTGTTCTGTTGCCTCACGTTTTACCCACATGCACAGAAGTCAGGCATTTGATTTGCCCTTCCAAAATTTAACACAACATAGACCAGATACGTTGTAATTCCCATTAATTTCTTCAAAAAACAATTTCTTTCCCCACTACTGCCACTACTGCATTGCCAACATCTCCAAAATTATTCGAGTCAAAATGTTTAAATTTTTTCCATAGAAGAAAACAGAGACAGTCTGCTACTAGGTAAAACAAAGCCATTAAGCACTGATTTTGTTTAAAACAGCAAAAAAGAACAAATACTGGATACTGTATCATAGTTGATAAAGAGCTTTGTTACTGTTTTCTGATTTCCGAGTAGTCCTTGCAGTACGTATAGAGCAGCTCTTCTTACAGTTTTTTGTACAAAAAAAGTTTTTCTATAAACAGTATATCTGCTGCTTACCTTTAAAAAGAAATATGTAAACTATTTTCCCAGTCATTGGAAGTGTATATATAGGACCATTCAATTTTTTGTTTGTAGAGAACCAACTAAATACTATAAGATTTATAGTTGCAATTTAGTGAACAGTTTTATAAACTGCTATTTAAAGCAGTTCTGTTCACTTAAATACACTAAAAAGTCTTTTTATGAAAGTGAGATCATTTAAGTCCAGTCCATGCATGTCTTTTTTATTCTTTCATCCTGTCTTCCAATTCTTACAGTATATTTTAACAGCTTGTCAAAAATGCCATCTCCCTTCCATCATCAGTACTACTGGAAAAAGAATCTAGGGAAACATTTTTTACAAAGCAGTTCAAAAACTTACTATGATGGACAAAAGATTAAGTATTGCAGCCTGACATATAAGGGCATTAAAAAAAACCCGCAATGCAAAGGCAGGAAGGAATGTGGTATATTGATTTGATTTAGTTTTTAATAAGTACATCATAGCTATGAATAACAGTAAGCTCTAGGAAAAACGGAGAAATAAAAAGGAGAATAATACCTCATTGCATTTGTTCCTGTGATGGAATAATAAATCAACAGAAGTATCTCAGCTACACCCTTCTAAGAAATAGGTCTCTTCTGTATCATAGGAAAACCATTTCAATAAAGTACTTGGCCCACAGAAGTACTTCAGGATACAATGAAGATCATCGTTTCTGTACTCAAGCCTCAGAACATCTTCACACTTACCTTTCTCACAAATGTCAGCAGAATTCCTACTTCCTAAATTAATGCATGTTATAAAGATATTCTCTAAAAAAATTATAGAAGGTAGGTGCTATTGTCTGAAAAACGGTATTTTAAAAATTCTAATGACAGCATGACTGACCATGGTGTGCCAAGGCACTACTGCAACAATGAAATATGCCAATAAATAGGTAATCTGAACGGTCCAGCAATGAAATTAATTTGTCAACCATTTATTTAACACTACGTTTCTGAGTAGATTGTTAAAGGGATAGGTCTTTGATTTACCTTCACAATACGCAGAGTCCCCTTGGACAGAGAGATAACCATTCTTGCATTCACAAGTAGCTTTTGTGTTCCAGTTTTTGCACTCTGAATTTTCACCACATCTGTGTCCCTCTGCACAGAAGTTATGGCCTGAAATACAAGGAACGGGCAACCTGGTATTAAAATACGTTTATTTCAGATATTCGGGTTTAATATTTACATTGACTGTATTACTCTGAAAAACTTCAGCATGCTACATTCCAGAAATTCTCTCTATAAACCTACCTAGTGCACACAGGCTTTTTCTATTCCTCCATCAATTCATTCTCAGTAAAACCATTTTGTTCAAAAATGTATTTGCATGACTAGTTTTAGTCGGGAGAAAAGACAACTTCAAAGCAGGAAACCATGACAATCCATTAGCCTTCTATTGAACCCAGGTAGAATAAAATGCCACTTTATCTCCGATTGCCAAGAAGTGTAATACTAACATCAGAAATGTAATATCAAAAAAATATCCTTCACAGCTATCTTATTACACATAATCAAGCATGTTTTTAGAAGAGTAAAAATGAGATGTTGCATTGGAACATAAAACTACACTGGTAGTCAAAACCTCATGCACTGCCTTGTGATTCCGTCATCAAAAACTAGCTGGATTGTTTCTACAGTTTATAATTAATGCATACAGCGTGTTTTGTAGGGGAGAACTTTTATTAATCCCCCCTTTTTCTTTGATATAAATTCTCAGTAGCTTCTTTGTGAATGGTTTCTTTTATCCCATACAGAACAATTTCTACAAACTTGATGAACTTTATAGAATCATCTGGTTGGAAGAGACCCTCAAGATCATCGAGTCCACCTTTCCCACTTTCTTCTATAAAAGCACAACCATTTGAAGTTCTTTCTTCCCAATTTTAAATATTTCTCAAAGATGTCTCAAAATTTCTCTCTGCTGAAGTCTAAAGTGAAAGTAATTGCAACTTTATCTCTCCAAAGGCACTCCACTGCAAGTACGGTAAGAGATAACTAAATACCTTACAGAATTTGATAAGAGGAACTTTTTTCCCCCATTGGTGTATTTTTGATGAATTTCTCTCTATTAATACCCAAAAGTCAATTTCTATTTGCCTGAGATCTATAAATAGTCATTTTGGTAATTCTTCTTTTTTCTAGATTTTCTCTCATGGAAAGAGAGAAACCAGAAATCCAGACATACCATCATCTACTTGTATTCCAACTTGCACCTATATGAATACAAGAACAGCTTTTGCCAATTCTGCCTGGTCATAAAGGAGCAAACTAAAAGTTCTACTTCACTGATCCTTAACTTTCCTAACATTCTCTAAAGACAGCTAAGAAAAAGATGATCTGGACTTCTGAGATCTAAACGCCAGATTCAGATCTTTATTCATCCCCCTTGCTTTGATATTCTTTAAGGAACTTCAGAAGACTTTAGCTTATACTAAATATAGTTTTCGTCTACAGTAAACAAATTTTCATTGGGCTATCCTGAAGCTGCTGTTCCTTGTAGATTTTTAAATTTGTTTTTAAACATGCACTTCAGTCATCTACTAATTTAAAAATCAAGTCTCATCATTTTAGTGCACTCTATGACTCTAATCATCTAACGTCAAGTTGTGAGGTCATTTTTTAAAAAATGTAACACTTGTTAGCAAGGAGGACATTTTCTCAGTGTCAAGGTTCAACTCTACATTTGAACTTCAGATTAATTCTGTTAAAAACCAAGGTATCTTCCTTGTGCTCAGTTAGCTCGTTCTTTCATTGTAATTTCATAGATTTCATAGATTTCTAGGTTGGAAAAGACCTTAGAGATCATCGAGTCCAACCATCCCTAATCCCCATTAAACCATATACTCAAGTAGATCATCCACCCTATTCTTAAACACATCCAGGGATGGGGACTCAACCACCTCCCTGGGCAGCCTATTCCAGTGGCTGACAACCCTTTCAGAGAAGAAACTTGCAAAACAGAACCAACTCTGTTAATGAAAACTGCAGATATCCTTTCTAGTCTTCATTCATTTCACAGTCTGGTAAAAACCACTCAAGTATTCCAGATATAGTCTTGTCAACCTTGGGTACATTTTATACTGGTAAAAAAAGGGTGCAGTTACACTGCCTGTAGCCATTTATGCAATCACAGTATTTGACTTCTCATTTTTGCCTTTATAATTATAATTGAAACTGAACACTGGAACCCATCTCCCCAAACTTATCCGTTCAGCATCTAATTTATACTCCCCAAGCAGGATTACTATTCTGTTGGCATTCTAGATAATATCCAAGAGACAACAAGTTTTATAACATTTTCTTTGTCACTGTTTCCCCTAAGACTATGGCATCCAAGTCTATTTCCTGCTCCTTTAGAATAATAATACTCCTTTGAACTCATACACAGTATTAGTTTTATAGTTGATTATTATTGGTAATACTCAGAACCGATGTAACCTATCAGTGTATTAAGCTAGGGACAGTGGATTGCTACTACTGTCTTAGGATATTTTAATTTCATTTATCTATTTATATTTCCCTCTTATACAAACCTGTAACAATTATTTCACCTTTCTAGCATGTTTTAGTTACAATAGTCCTTATACAACTTTCTGCACCAAAAAAAACCACTTTGATTTGGGCTCTCTTTATCCCAATGAGTCAACATTTTACCCTGTGATCAGTTCATGGTAAATTTAACACTTAGAATTAGCCAAAGGGATGGCTTCTCAGGGTTAACTTTCATCACAAGTCTCGAGCCTCAGGTAACTGCTCTTCTGTAACAGCACTTTCTCCCAAGCACAAGCCACTGATTAGTTTTCAATGTCACATCATAGCCCTAAGAATTCTTCACTGTTTATTTGCCATCTCTGAAATTCATCAGTAGACATGATGACTACCTTAACTACCCATTTTGTACCACTAGAGCTGTCACCTTTTCTTAAAAATTCTCTGGCAAAAACCTATATTGCTTTTGTTCCGTTATTATCAACTCAAACATGAACTGTCTCCATTCAGAATCAGCCTCTTACGTTTTCAAGCTTGAAGGCTGTTAAAAGAAGAAAAAAAGTAAAGCTCCAGTTCTCTAACTTGTGTAATTAGAGGCTCTAAAGAACTTTTCATTGTTCTCCTCTCTAAAGGAATACACAATGATAGAACACCTACTACATTTCTAGATTGTCGTGGCATTCATTATTATAAAAGACCTGTGAAACACTGTTTCCTACCTTTTAAAAATGCTGACTAAAAGTGACTCAATTTAATTCCCCACAGCATTTCAGAAAACTTGTTCAATACCTCCATAAGTGGAAAGTGGATGCCATTCCTGTTAAGAGCATGCATGGTGCTATGACACCGTACGTTACCAAGTTTTTACAAAACAAACGTAATTTAAGGTTAACAAACAGGAAAAAAAAAAGTAATTGATGGTATTGCAGAGCAAGGGTTCACTGTGCCTCTGTCAGAGGAGGCATACCATTGATACCAGAGGCTTTTCCAAGTACTTTTCTTTTGCAACGGAGATGCATGCTCAGCACTTCAAAAGAGCTAAGAGGTACATACCAAGGAAGTGTGGTTCTAGCATTTCTTAGACCTTGGTCTGTATTCTCCCCAGCCGGGGTTTTGGAGGCAAGAAAGGAATAAAATGCTATCTCCTTTGTCTTAGTTCACATTGGGCCTGAGTGCTTTTCCCGCTCCTCTGGCAAATAAAGGCCACTTCATATTTGGACCGTAACATGAAGAACGAAGCTGGCAGTATTCTTCTCACATTTAAAAATCCCAATGCAACACCTAATTTACCAAAATATTTTAACACATTCTTATTCAGCAAAACAGTCAGGAATGCACACAGGGCCGCGAACTGTGACAACCATGCTTATATTCCCAACTAAACAGGGAGGGACCTGAGCTCTGACTTACACATCGGTCTATTCATGGGAGCAGTTACTTATCCCCAAGCAAGTAAAAAGGGAAAGAATGCAAACATCTGATTTTTACTAATTCTTCGGTGTGAAATGGATTATAGGGTTCCTTTAAAATACCTGCACAGATGGCAAAACCACCCGTTGTTACTGCAGTGGGATCTCTGAATCTGAACCATGGGTGGCAGATAGCAGAGGGCACACATTCCTATTGCCCAGGTGAAAATAACTGAATTACTGAGACTTCAGAATATTCAGCAGAGTCTTATCTGAGACAGTCAGCTCCTCTCTAAACGTAAGAAACAGCTTAAAATAGAATCATCACATCCGAGCAAGCAGGGAATTGGAAAGGATTTGACAGAAGCACACAAAATCTTAAATAGTTCTGATAATCTAAACTAATTTCAGGCCAACACAGATGACAAGGCAAGTGAGCATGAATTAGAATTACAGATAAACACATTCAGAACAGATGTCAGAAACCATTTTCCCCACACATACACAGAGAGCCATAAATGTGCACAACAGCCTTCAAAGTTGTTCAAGACATTTAAGATACAATTAGATACTACCAACAGGAGAATTAAATATTGAAAAGTGTGTTTAGACTTTTGATGGGCCTGATGACCTCTGTTTCTTCCCCAAACATTTCTGATAACATTACTCTCTCCTTTTATCAAGGCTACTGAAATGTTTGCTCTCAGATCAGATTATCTAAAATTAAACATTTATTCTATTTAGGGACACCTGAACATGGCTCTTATTTTTCCAAACTTGTCAACATCTTCAGGTTCCAGCTCCCAGAATCTGCCTTTCCAGAGCAGCAGGCTAAACTGTTTGGTGCTGTCATCCAGTTTTAAAAGTACTTAAGACATTTGGTAACATGGCTTAATTATTGATGAAAGAATGCAAGAATTCATCCAAGACTACAGCTGGAATCAATGTATCTTATACCCATACCTCTTCCTACGTTTTTTTATGGGCAACACTAATGTGCCTCTCATTTTTCTGAGGGTTTACTTACATCATCTTTAATGCTTTCTGTACTACTTTTAATGCTTTCTGTACTACTTTTAATGCTTTCTGTACTACAATATCCTTAGTTGTTCACTTCAAAAACTGTAAAATCCCTGTTGTCTTGCTGCTCAAGGAGCCACCCTTCAGCAATTCATATTTCACTGTTTCACATTTCAGAGGCTTCTAAAAAGAAGACTGACGATGCTTTCATTAATAGCATTAGCAACGTTCAAATCATCCAAGGTAATTTCAACCTCAAAATCTTTACTATTGTTAGGATTTAACCCCACAGTTACTACATAAATGTGTAAAATGAATCTGAGGGACAACTCATAGGAAGAGTCATAAAATTTGCACTAGCAATTATGACCTTTCATGATCTGAATCAGTTTTTAATGAGTCATGAGCAATGAAGCACTTCGAACAGCAGTTTTTACGCCTTCAGAGACTGTGGTCACAGAACTCAGTGGTCTGACATAAAACAGCAACTTCATAAATTTTTTCAAGCTGCTACATCAATGCAGACCTTATTATTATTGCTTATTTGTGTGCATTAGAATAATGGTACTGCACAGCCTAACAAGCTTATAAAGATGTTGTTTTTTCAGATATAAAGCTCCTCTAAATCCTAAGTAACATTATAACTATGTTTAGACATAAACTAATTCATATTTATCAACCTCCATTAAATCTCAATAAAACTAAAACCTTGAAATGACTCATACCTCACAGCAATGAATGAGAAATATTCGACTTCTGAAAAAGCAAAACTCAGTTTCACAGTTAGACAGGGAGAGATGAGAAACATGCTAACTGAAAAGCCTTCTCATCCTCTAACTGAAAGAATCAAAACCTCCTTAAAACAAAACAAAGCAATACAAGTAACGGTGGCAGAAGCACCATTTTTAGATTTATATGCTGTTCCCCACTGTAAAAGGCACGCTTCAGCTCACCAGTAGGACTCTCCAACTTCCTGCTAACCAGCATCAGCAGCCAATCTGACTAAATTCACCAGCCAAACAATATTACAGGACAGCAAATAAAATGTACTTTCTCCAGAAACCAAACAGCTCTCACTACTTCATTACTTCCTTACACTCTCTCTTTTAAGGAGAGCATGACTGAAGCTGCTAGGGCTGTTAAGGCTATTCTTACATACTAAAATTGTGAGCACAACAACATAAAAATTCTCTCGTGAAACTTTATTTGAATCACTTATTCAAAAGAGAAAAAAAACCCACTCT